AAAGCACCAAGTCAACCCTCCGAGTCCTTCGTGAGCCTGAGCCTACAGGGTCAAGGTTAACCGCTACCAGGGCACCCGCTCCGCACTTGTCAGCCTGAGCTGCCGGCACACAAGGCTGCCGCCGTCTTGTTCCTACCTTGACGTACACGTTCCCCACCAGGTGGTCTCCCAGGTTATCACAGACGTTCATCTCCTCAACTTCCCCATACTTCTCCTCCATTTCTGTAAAAACCTCCTAAAGGGAGATCACAGAGGCTTAAGCATAGTTATATATATTAAGAGTGTAATTAAATACAGCTCATGTGTAAGTACGGTTATTAGTGGACAAAAATTTTAACTCCTTCCAAGCAGACACAGGTCAAGGAGGTCTACCAACCACAGCAGTCAATTTTCTTACCTCAAAAAATTCATCATAGTGTTCCTGCATCTCGACATCGCTCACCGCACCTGGAAACAACAGAAATCTTGCTGGTTAGAAGGGGTTAACCGAGAGTGAACTCTTGCGCTTAAACTCAAACTGCTACAACAACACACGAGATTATCTAGAGAAAACCCGGCAGAGCTGCACCCTGCAGCACTGAGCAGCTGCGCCACACAGCTACCTGTTAATGGTGTGCAGCGTGGTGAGGTTTAAGTGCCCCTATGACAGTCTCAATTCTGGTTATTAAGATATGAAAACCACAACCAGTTTTAATTGGCATCAAAAGGGCCACATTTTCAGAAAGTGTGAGGAAAAGTTGACTCTCAAATTAATCAACTCTTAAATAAAATTTTCTTCCTTTTAAGATTTAGAATACAGGCCAAGTAAGCACACTGACTTGTTTCCCCGTTTATTAGTTTAAAAGGAAAGCGGAAATCAGGGTGAGTGATTAAAGAGCTTATGCTCCTAACTAGTTTCTTTCACAGACTGTCAGCCATAGAATGCTATAAATTTTTCTGATGCGATTAGAACCCAAGCAGCCGTAGACTCGGTAGGATGATTACCAGGCACAATTACTGTGTTTTGGATGCCCCTAAATAAAAAGAAAGGTGCAGTGCTTTGTGGAAGAAAGCATTCTTATCTTACATTCCAGAACTATTTCCATCAGTTTATTCTTCATAATTCACATGCACTAGGTGAAATTACATCCGCTGTGTGGGCAGACTTTGCAAATTTATCATTCTTTCTACCAAATTTTATGTTCAAATTCTAGAGTTCTCTAAACCGTGAGAAGTCAAATGCTGGCATGTCAATAAACTGATGTTTCAGAGAGCCAGATTGGGGGCAGGCAAAAGCCAGAGTGGCGTCAGGTTGGGCCAGCTCAGTCTTGGATCGTTACCTTCCCGGGACCACACTCCTGGGTGACTGGTCAGCTGACAAGTCTGGCTGCCTCATCCGGTGCATCCCACCAAAGGCAGCTGACTTTGAGCTTGCTCAAAGACCTTTTTATCTTTAAAAACAAAAACTAACTTATGTTCTGATTCTGAGAGTGATTTAAGTTCACGTTCTAACCTATCTGGGGCTATGTTTCAGTTATTTTTGAATTTCCAGGAAAACAGTTTGTTTTCAAACCCAAAACTTATTGAATGCAACAACTGCTACTTCTGACAGCCGGCCAGTGGTACCACAGGGTACCCCAATTTAAAAGCTACCAGGAATATCCCCTCCTTCCCTGAGTAGAAATCAAGTTATAAACAACAGAAAAACTAGCCAAGAGGGGCCCACTCCAAAGGGCGGATTTTAATATTTAAAACTCATTTCCTTTTCCACATCAGAAAGAATGTGAGGAGGAAAAATAATATTTACACGCTCAAAGTTTTAGCAGCTTTGAGAAAAGGTTTTGTGGTGGTTATTTTAAACTACCTGGCTACATGCATTCTGCTTAAAATTTTCGAATCAATCAAAATGACTTGAAAGGCAGAGACAAGAGCAATTAAATACTGATTTACTAAAAATGTATGTATTTAAATGACTCAATCTATTTTAAATAATACAACTTGGAAAATATACCAGTTTTCTCACAGAAATATTATTGTTAAAGTGGGATTCATATTTAACTTTAATTCACGCGTATGAACCTTTTTTCTACATATCAAAGGGTATGCTAAAAAGAGCCAGTAATTTTAGATAATTTCTTCTTAAAATGCAGAATTAAAATCTCATTTAATTTGTACAATCTGGACCTCAGAATTGGAATATTTAGCAACAGCTAAACTTTTATTTGTAGTATACGCAAAACAAGAGTACTGTGAATTGCAAATAAAGACACAAAGAAAACTAATACAACATTCTATTGTCAATAAAGCACACACAGTCCCCAAGTCAACAATCAGGGCAAAGAATAATTACTGTTACTCAGTCATCTACTTGTCATTCATTTTTATCCCAGGGACAGGTTGTTAACAAAAATTATTTAATAAGTTCATATACAAACATTTCCCTCTACCTGTTGATCTTATTAAAGAAAAAAATAAAACAAAACAAAACACCAGGTATTTTAAACCAAGGGTTACCAAGTAAATCCTGCTACCATCAGATTCAGGGAAAGAAACCTCTACTGTCAGGTCCGTATTAGCATGGAAAAGCATTCAGTATCAGCAGGAAAATTTGCAAGAAAACTCCACCCCACACAGAAATGTGCATCCCTCTATGAGCATAACCCAGGCCTCCCAATGTGGGGCCAGCTTCTGGGATCATTCACCCAGTGCAGGTCACCCCATAAACTGAAGGGCTCCAGGTGAAGGGTGTACCCAATTTAGGCTTATGGCTGTCCAAGGGTATCTCGATTTCTACTGCCTTGAAACATCTGGCAAATGAGAAGTATCTACCCTTTGGTTTGGACTCCTTGATTTTAACAAGAGTCCAGGTGTTCATTTCAATTTATCCACAAATGACTAAATTTCAGTGATTCCATAGCTGGATAATTATAAAGAAATTAAATTCAACCTAAATTTCTTATTTCTCAGTACAGGAAAAAATTAGTAATGTCTACTGAATACCCGGTTTAGACTTATTTGCCCACCAGGTACCCTTTATTTTTCAAACATAGCAAAGGAATTCCAACTCCTATAGCTGGACATCGTATCTATGCAAAGTATAGTGGTAAAAATTGAGTGTCTTTTTTGTCAAGGACCTATCTGAACTGAGCACACCCAACCCAGTGTGACTAATTGGCACAGGGCTGGTAGGTGAGAAAACTCAGGGGTCAATGCGAGCTGCAGACGCTCATTTGGGGAAGCATGCTCAGAACAACGCTCTCACAGCTAAAGTGATGGAGTTTAAGGAAAAAAGGATAATAAGAAATCTGAAAAGTAATTTCAAAACAATTTGTTTTTTAAAGTTCCAGAAAGTGGGAGAAACATTCAGACACTGTTGCTCTTAGAGGGAAAAACATAACTTGATGTTTACTTCCAGTACATTCCCCCTAGGATGACGGTCAGAGTAAAGAAGGGGAGCAGCAGCAGCTCCAGACTGTTTTAAAGGGCACCCTTTCCAGTCCCTTTTTCCCTTAACACGTGGGCAGGAGTTCAAATCTCCAACAGAGGTTTCCACGGGGTCAGTGGGACAAAAGCTCCTTGCCACCTCTAGTGAAACGCGGTCCTTGACACTACCACGGCAGACCAGATGGAGTGGACACTGAGCTCTGACACGCAAGCCCAGGGAACCAGGGAAGGAACTTGTATGAACTTACAGCGCAAACCGTCAGCAGACTGGGAAGAGTTTTGAGGGTTACGGTAAATGTTCAAGAGGGCAATGGTCTGAAATACAAAACGCAACAACTTTATATTATGGAAAATTAAATGTAAACACTTAACCGGTTGCCTTTGGTAATCGCTTCAGTCGAGATTCAATGCTGAAAAAAGAGCAAGTTATTTTCTTCAGAAGCAGAGATGTTTTCTCTTAGTTGATGGCTGCCTTGAAACACCCTAACACTGCAATGTAACAGAGATCTCATGATATACTAACACTGTATTTCTGTTTACAGAATGTAGAAACTCTCCATTTCAAAATTTCAGTTCAGGTGAAAGTGCAAAGAGCTTGTGAGGCTACTACCAAAATTTTCTTAGATGTTACAGAAAACTTTTAATGAACTGAGAAAGAAAAGTGCCTAAATAAACTGATGAAAAAATTACTGTATTAGAGAAATACAATAATTATATATCATGAAATCTCCCTTCCTAGAGAAAAAATTGTAATGGTGAAATAAAACCCACACTTATTGGGCAACTTACCTTATTGATTCCTTAATATTCCTAAGATTTTTAATTTTACAGAAAGAACTTAACAAAGGCCAGGGGTTCAGTCACTGTGAAGACCAATGAACGGCTGATAATGTTAAAACACAATTTCACACGGACAGACCCGCTCTCATGACAAATGTCAATCAATGGAAGAGGCCCGGCCAGCAACCTTCCCTAGAAAAGCCTCCTGAACATGGCCAAGTATCAAGTTCTTGCTGTGTGCGCCAAGGAGTTCCAGCACCTTGTCCTGTTTGCAACAGCTCTATGTCAGCAGCTCAGAAGCCAACATTGTTTGTCTCAATTAAGAGTGGGCTCTTTAACACCATTGTTTTAAAAAAATTTCTCCAACTGTGGGACTTACAGTGTGAGCCGTCAGCCGTCTGTGCACTGTTTTGGGGATTACGATAGATGTTTTGAATCAAGATGGTCTGCGGGGAAAAAAAAATAAAAAGGGGAATTCTACTGGCTGCTGTGCATATATTAGACAATTGCAAAGAGACAATTTGTTTGCAAATGGCTAAACGTTTGTTTGTTTTTCCCGCAAGTCAGACACTTGTCTTCTGAAGAGTACACCAAAACCATCATATTATGAAAACAGAGTTTGAGCAGTGACTTGGGTCAAGTCAGCCAGCAACCAAGAAGAAATTATAATTGTTGTTTTGAGTAGTCCCACATTATTAAATGTTTGAATACAAGATAAATAAATAGAACACTAACATTTTCTTGTACTTCAAGCTAGCAGACATTAAGACGTAGAAAAATTCACATTATAATCATATTCCCCACACAAAATAATTTTTTGAAACCAAATGCATAACTCAACCGTATGCAGTACATCAAATTCTCTGGTCTTAGCAAAACAGGCACACCAAACAGGTTTCTTAACTGTCATGGATACCTGACTCTTATTTACACTTTCTTGGTGGGATCTCTGTTTACATAATACAATAGCTTAAAACATTGGTTCTTTTCCGATCCTTCTTTTAAGGAAAAAAATCCTTTTAGCCCTTGTGCTTTAAACTGGATCAGGCAGACTTGAAACCTTACACTGTACCGTTCTTCTTAAAATCAAGTTGTCTGAAAAAACAAACCATGTTTAAGTTAGTAGGCTAATATATTACATAAATCTTAATGTCCATATCACTGTAAGAAGCTTACAAAGAAACCCACCCTAAATTATGCTAGAGATTTACAAGCTAGATCAATAACTGCATAATTGAGAAAAATAAATGTTCAGTCTAAACAAGACGTATGTAAAGCATTTCTTAAGCGGTTTTACAAAACCAGTCGGTTCCCTTTCTAGCTACATTTAAAGGGCAGTGGCGTATGACAGCTCCCCAGTCAAGGGTCTGCAGCTGGGAAACCTACCTGGGAGGCCTGTCCAGCAGCCAGACCACACACGCTTAGCCACTAGACTCAAACAGGCACCTGCACTCGGGGTCCAGCACCCTCCCCAAGCCACAGGTGCTTCCCCAAACTGACTTTACTCGGTTTCCAACTACAGCGTGACAACTCTGACGCAAAGTTCAACTGAACCCTAACTGTCAACAGTAAAATTTACTGTGGGTCTCACTCAGGTAATCTGGCAGTGGCTGTTTAACGAAGGAAACTTCACTTAAAGAGGCAATGCAGGTGTGTATTAAAATCAGAGGTGGCTAGGATTACCTAAAACCAACCAACCTAGCAAATCAAACTGAGATGCTTCAGCTAACATATACTACTAACCCCTCGAACTGTAATGCACCCACCGTGTTGTCTCATCCACAGTGCCCCAATTAACTTCGCATTTAGTATTTTGAAGTAATCCACCATTCAGAAAGAAACAAAGCAGGTGTCTCTGGCTAGCTTAAAGAAAACTCGTATAATATGACTGGGTGGACACACACTTAAGGTGCCTGGTTACTGTAAAATCTATGGCTGGTGGTTTAGTTGGGGAGGTTTAGTTCACCAATTAAATCATTTGTTTTAAAAAACAATTACAATAAATAGAAATTTAAAGCAAAGTTCTCCAATATTCTGAAATTCACAAAAAGAAAGAGACATAACCAGAGGTATTAAAAGATAGATTCTTGTTACACTAACCACTTAGTAATCAGGAATAATGGAGGGGGAAAGCCATCTGTTCCCCTTCTAAAAATACACTGTGCTGTGGGGTTTTCCATGGGCTTTGATGGCAAAACACCCATGTCTCTTCCTTCCTGCTCACTTATACTGAGTGGTGGATTTTCTTAAATGCTTACAGGAGAACATACAGAAAGATGTGAGCTCAAAGGCAGAGGCTGGCAGCTTCCAGGCGCCATACACAAGTTATATGATGGTTCAGAGGCTGCACATTCAGATTGCAAAGGAGGGTTGGAAGGAGCTCACCAGTCCTAAGTCTAGAAAGACTCAAGTATAGATTTCCAAATTTTCTCATAAACTTGGGCATAAGTTTTTTGCTATTAGAGATGCTTTCTCCCTTTAATCCATCAGTGATTCCTTGCAGTGTGCAAAACCCTGCCTTTTCTTCAATTAATCAAAAATAAAACTATCAATCAAAAAAATCACAATTTTTGGTTCGACTGAATTCAGCAGGTCTAAGCTCAAGATAACAGGCACATACCTCTTGATTAACTGAACAGACGGGCTATGAAAAATTTATGCCCATCTTCTACTGGTAAACTGTGTTTGATATTTGCATGACATGATGCAACTTGCTGTTTCCTCAACTAGGGGTCTAAAAGTAAGGACATGCCCAGAGAAACTTGAGCAGTACAGCACAGTGGACCTGGTGACAATCACTCTAGCTCATAAGGCGGCTCCATCACCTCTCCTGGCTGCAGGGAGCAAAGACCAGAAAGCCCATTCTGCATCCACTGGTGCCAGGAAAAGGGGCGCTGCCAGCCCTGGACACGTACCTATTACGGGGATAGGGAGGATGGCAGGGCACTGAGTGCCAAGCACAGCCAACAAACAAACATTAGAACTTATTTTTAAACAAATTCCTGTAATGATAAAAACAGGGAATGGTGCTCTCAGACCTTCCACTGCGAGTGGATTACCTGCCTTGTTCTCATTTTAACAAAAGAACATACTTAGGAACACAAATGAAAAAAACTAGAGAAAAAAAGGACTTGTCAATGTGAGGAAATTATTAATTGCCTCTAAAAAAAGTACATAAAGTTTTGATAATTTACACGAAAAGAAAAAAGAAAAGAAAAAAAGAAAAGAAAAAGCAAACAAACCTGGCTAAAGGTCGGTTTATTGTGCAACCGAGAGCACCTGTCTCCATGACGACACGCTCCAATTTTGAAATAAAATGAACAGTTGACTCTGTAAGGGAAAATAAGAGCTGATTATTTTGCTGGGAAAATATCAAACACATGGAAACACGTCATTACCATGATATACACTATCAAACTTTTTTTTTCACTTCACAAAAACAGAGGCGCATAGTTTTTTGTGGTAGTAAGCACCTTTCTCTTCCTTGCAATATTTTAGGACAGCTTTAACTTCAACTTCCCTTTCTACAAACATGCTACCTTCAACAAAACCCACTCCAGTTCTAACCCAGTTCCTCATCAAAAAAAAAAAAAAAAAAAAAAACTAAATTTAACTTAATCGTATCTTTCTCCAGTTTTCCATGATGAAATCCTCCATTGACAACACCAAACAATATAGTGTGTCAAGGTCCTGCATCTGCGGCCAGCGGCCTGGGTCAGGGCAAGTCGCCCCAGGTCTTAGGTGCTGTCTGGAAAATGAGGAAAATGCTGTGGCATTGTTCCAAGGACTAGAGAGAATGTATGTGTGCTCCATACACAGTGCTCACTAAGTGCTATCATTATCTAAGGAAAATAGAAAAAGTTGGTTCTCTCAAAACCTATGAGACCAACCAAAGGAAATTAAAAAAAAAAGGGGGGGGGGTCTGAAGTAAATAACTCTCCTGGTTTCAGGATTCTGAAAATGAGCTATATAGGGGACTGACCCAACATGTCTTAAGACATACCAAAATGCATCTTCTGTCACTACTGCAAAGCCCTCCCTAATACTGTTCAAATACTTTGATGATCCAGACCAAATTAAAACCAGCCATCATGCCTGTGTGACAGCAATGCCAGGTGGTTTAGTATGAAATCTTACTAGAACTAGATGGGCTCCATTCAATTCAACTTGCACAGGCTGGAGGGCCACCCTGCAAATTCAATGTTTTCGCAAGTGCCATCTGTTTAAATAGTCAATCCAGAGTTAAGATGGAAGGTCCTCTACCTTGATAAAATGTGACAGACCATGAATACCGACTAGCCACTGATTTATTACCAGGTAGCAATAAACATGGGCCCGTCTGAAGTTATCAGGAGAGAAAAATTTTTACTACATATATTTGCAAGCTTTTCTTAAAAGTCTCACTTTAGCTTATCTAACTTGAGTGGACAACATATCTTTAGAAAGTCACCTGAAAAGGAAGAGAGTTTATTTCAGACACAGAATGGGCAAACCCCTTCCTTAGACAATTAATATCCAATTATTTCATATAATTAAAACAATCCTTGTTCCTGTACTTGCAGTGATGCCTTTCATTTCGCAATGCCCAGTTACTTAGAGTTTAGTAAATTAATCAAAACTTTCCTAGTAATAGACTTCAGTGGTCTACTCATTAAATTACTGAAATAAAGTGAAAAAATATAAAAGATGTCATTTACTATCACGTAAAAGCTATTAGAAAAGCTATGCTTGTATCTAGAAAATGTCCATAACTCCAAATGTATAATAAGCTGTTTTTTGGTTTTTTTTTTTTTTGAGATGGGTGTTCTGCTATGTGGTCCAGGTTAGAGTTAAATGGCCCGTTCCTGGCCTGAACTCCTGTCTCAGCATCCCAAAGTGTTGGGATTACAGGTGTGAGCCACTGCACCCCACCATAAGCTAAATATTTAACTGGTAGAGACCTACACTTTACTACTAGCTTAAATTAAAAAAAAAAGTTAATAGGAACCATAGTCTTCATTTTTTACAAGTTGATCTTGTTTCCTAGATAGTAAAACCCCACATCTCCTGGAAATGAAGACATTAAGTAACCTAGATTTAAAAAATCAACTTTTCAGAACTGAAACCATGACTCTCACAGTGCAGCCCCAATAGGTTGAGATGTGGTTAATTATAGCAGAATATAAAAATGTTATTAGAGTAAACCTCTAAAGTAAGAGTTTTACAGAATAACAGGAAAGAAGTTTTTTTTATAAGATAGAGCTCATGGTACATACAAATATAAATGAAAAGGTGAAATTCATCATGCCCCTGATTCTGCATAAATTCTTCAGCCTAAATTCAGAGAAAACTCTTATTCCAGAAAAGCTGCTCTATTCATTCACCAAGATCGTATTTAAAGGCCAGCTTTCCCAGCCACCTCCTCTGTCATCTCGCAGCATTCAGGGTACACACTTTTCCACAGCACTTAACACATTTTAATGCGTTTTACTTTAATTATCCTTATGAGGACATGTACCTCCTCCCTTCACAACTTCCTTGAGGACAAGACCCAAATTTTAACCATTTTTGAGTTCCCAGAGATTGGTCTATAGTTGACACCCAATAAATGTTTTCAGAGTGACTATGACTGGTGATTCTGGCATAAGATTTTGCTAGAAAGAAATATAGTCCCCTCTTCCAAACAACACAGGAGATTCTATTACGTGTAAAGAGGACATTTTACAAGATAGACTCCATCCTGGAAAAGAAACATTTTAAACAGTGTATGAAAAAAGAGGTATTAAAAACATAAATTATCTATGACAAACGTAGGGGTTTCTCACTGGAAACATATATTCACGTAAGCTTTGTAGGGCATTGAAAAATGCCAAGATGATAACTGCTTACTCAAAGAGTAGATTAAGCCAGACGTTTAATCTTTAGGTTTTCAAAGTAAGAATTATCCTTAAATGTCTGGTGCCATGCCCTTGAGTCTAAATTTCAGCCAATGCACTGAAAACTAATGTGTGCCAAAGTGGCTATTAAAAGTGAAATCAAAATTTTTTTTTTGAGACAGTCTCACTCTGTTGCCCGGGCCAGAGTGCCGTGGCATCAGCCTAGCTCACAGCAACCTCAAACTCCTGGGCTCAAGCGATCCTCCTGCCTCAGCCTCCCGAGTAGCTGGGACTCCAGGCATGCGCCACCATGCCCGGCTAATTTTTTCTACATATTTTTAGTTGTCCAGACAATTTCTTTCTATTTTTAGTAGAGACGAGGTCTCACTCTTGCTCAGGCCGGTCTGGAACTCCTGAGCTCAAAGGATCCTCCCGCTTCGGCCTCCCAGAGTGCTAGGATTACAGGCGTGAGCCACCCCGCCCGGCCGAAATTAAATTTTTTACCTTTAACCTAACAATTGATTAGGGAAGGCAAGCAACCTTAAAAAAAAAAAACCAAACTACCAAAACATCTTTTCCTTATATCGGAATTGCATATTCAATTACAGACAGCCCCCGACTTAACATCTGTCGACTTTTATGACGGGTTTACTCGGGGTATTAAATGCATTTACGATTTACGATGGGTTTATCAGGACGCAATCCCGCCGAAAATGGAGGAACATCTGTATTTTAAGAGCAGACTATGTCTTTTACGGTTAGTTAATCCAGTGGTCTCCGTGATGTTTTTTCACAGCATGTCCTTACCGCCGGCCCTATGATCGCTAAAACAGGCAAGAAGCTTGTTAAGCGGGTAAAACCCCAGCACTGAGGACCCTAAGTTATCTAGCGACTTAACGTCGGCTCGCCCGACGTGACATTAAAAGTCTGAAGCTGGAAGAAATGTGTTAACAGCGGGGAGGCCCAGATCCGTCAGACAACTTCAGCACCACGCGAGGCGGCTTCCGAGCGCTGACGGGCGGGCGGCCGGGACCCGGGAGAGAGGGCGCGGCCGCGGCGCCTCCGGAGACGGAGCCGGCCGCCCGCCGGCGCGCTTCAGCCGCCTCGCTCCCTGCTCCCGCCGCGCGGCCCACGAGGCGGCAGTGCGCAGCTCGGGCGGGCGCGCGAGGGGCCGGAAGGGCCCGCGCTGCTTCCCGCCGCCGCGCCCCTCCCCCGCTCCGCGCCGGCCCGCCGCGCCTCCCGCCACCGCCCAGCCGCCCCGCGCCCGGCCATGTCCTAGCCCAGAGCCCCGGCGGGCGGCTCTCACTCACTTGTCTTTCTCGGTGCCGAAGATGGAGGCCAAGTACTCCGCCATTTCCCACCCGCCGCCGCCGCCGCCGGCGACACCACTGCCGACGCTGCCGACGCCGCCGACCCTGCCGACGCCCGCGGGAGACGTCACCCGGGCGCGACGACGCTCTCTCCGCCCCCGACGTGGCGGCGCTACCCAATCCGGCGCGGCGCTCCCTGAGCGGGGGCGGGACGCCGTGCGCGGGGGCGGGGCGTAGTGCGCGCGGGCGGGGCGTAGTGCGCGCGGGAGGCATCCGCCCCTCGGAGTGGGAGCCCGGCGCCCTCTGCTGGCGCTCTTCCGCTCGCGCTCTCGGCGGGCCTGAGGGGGCGCGGGCGCGGGCGCCGGCGCCGCCGCCGCCGCGTCCTGGGACTGCGGACGGGACTCCGGCCTAGGGCTCTCCGTGGAACGCTGGGGGCTGGGAGCCTCAGCTCGCCCCGCCGCGGGAGCAATAGAGAGTGCCGGCTTTCCGCTCCCGGGTGGGCCCTGTCCCCTTAAAAGAGAAAACCTGAGGCGGAACGAGTATAAGTGGAGTTTATTGGGCCAAGTTTGAGGTCCGCAGCCCCGGGGCATGGACCCAGGCGGCCCTCAGTGTAGGCGCGGTTGAGCAGTTACCTGTACCTGTTTAAAGGCAAAGAAGAGCCGTTTCTTAAGTTGTTTACAACGAGTTTACATTAAAATAACAGAAGGTCCGGAGTGGCCGCCCAGTCCTCTCCGTATCTCAAATTCCGGGAAGACAGATGAGGGCGAGGCGCGACGAGGCTGCCAGTCCGGAGCAAATGCTCTGGTCAGCCGCCCCGGGCAGGGGCACCACGGAAGTCGGGTGCTCAGTCCCGGGCCTGACCGGTTTTGCAAACCTCTTGTAGCTCCCACGGCCTGGAGCTATTTTCTGTTCTCAGACCCCCCTCTCCCCTGCCAGCACCCTTGCCTGCCCCAGCCACCCAGGGTGGAGCTGGAAGGCCTGTGACCTGCTCCTGGGATACCCTCTCAGTCCCCTCAGGACACGAGGTTAGAACCATCCTGTTGGAAGGTTCTATTCTTCCTCTAGTTTAGCCCCATGATGTAGTCATTTTCATCTGGTCCCCTCATTCCTCAACTCACCTTCAATTTACCCAATTTCCAATCCAGCTGTGTACTATGGTTGGGTCTTCACCAGGCAAGCCCCTGGCCATGGGGCAGGACCAGGGGGTCATCTTGACCGCGCAGAGCCGAAGGCTGTGCCCCCGCGTTTCGATGAATTTGCCTGTTAGAATAGCATTTCTCTTGGCAACAGAGCATCCTCCCACCTGGGAAGGAGCTGGATCAGCAAACTGGAAACCTCTTTGGAAGAGCAAGGCCTCAGAAGTGAGGCTAGAGAAGCGACAGGACAGGTGCCCGTCTAGCAGGCGGCGTCGTGTCTGGAGGGTGCAGCCGCAAGACACACACAGTCCAGGAAGGAAGACCGCTGGAGAGTTGAAAGCTGGCGTCAACCTTAAATCGCAATACGCAGTACATATGAATAAGTATGGTGGAGAGTTTATTCGAGCCTAAAGCTTGAGGATGGCCACGGGGGAGTGGGAGTGTACATTCAGGACAACTTGCGTCTGTGCTCCCAGGGGCCCATCCTCAAGCTTTGGGCTCAAATAAACTCTATACTTAATCACATTTTGTGAATCTCATTGTTTGAGGTTGACATTTTGGCGATCCAGGAGGTACACCAAGCAGGCCTCCAGCGATCCCTGCCACTTTGCAATGGAACCCTCGGTACCAGCACCAATGACTTTGGCTCACTGGACCACACTGGAGTCAATGGACCCTCTGGTAAGGCCCTCGGATGTGAATCTTCTTGGCGAGGTTGAGGATTCAGACTTTTATTCAAGCTACATTCATCCCTAACTTGACAGGGTTGGAACGGAAGCTCTTCTGAAAGGTGGGTGTTATTAATACGTTTGTTATTCTCGAGAGATTCTGCTGATCACGGATTTGGGATTTTTCACTTTTCTGTGAGGTTGAGACTTTGTTTGTTTTGACCTTAGAGTTTGCAACCATGATCCTCTTGTTTGAAATCTGGTCAAGGAGAAAACAGTTTCTCTTTGAAAAGAAGAACTGAATCTTTGTGGCTTCAGCAAAAATTGTAATTTTTCGAACTGGCCACAATCTGAGGCTCAGTTCCATTGACAAATCCAAAACTTTCTTGAGTGACCAAAAGAGTAACAGGCTCTTTATGAGGCCTACTAGGTTTTTGGTCATTCAGAAAGAAAAATCTAAATTGTGGGCAATTGTACTTGCATAACTGAGTCTTCCTCCTTAAGGAGAGATCCACCATTAGAAACACCAGCTAGGTTTATATTGAATACTTATGACACCTATTCATGCAACTGTGTAGAAAAAATGGGTCTCGCATAACTCACAATTACCTCAAGTTACAATGGCCAAAATGGGGTGTACCTTCGAAATACCTAAACTAGTTTATCTGTGCATTGAATTAGAAAAAGCCGGCTCTAAAATAAAATAGCTTGGATTGTTATTTTCAGTGATACTCAAAAGCTTCTACAAGAGGCTCTGATAAAGTCATTTCTTTGCAAGAGGAAAACAAAAGATTGTCTAGAACTATTTCAGATTTGAAAAAGACTTCAGCGGCTTTCACAACTGCTTCTTTTCCTTCTACCCCTGTAATCTGAACTCACCCTTTCCACTTGCTTCCTGGGCTCCCACGTATCTCTTAGGCAGAGATTTTTGAAATTCCACAGTGCACACATTTCCTTCTCTTAAAAGGGGGAAAATATATTTAAGTTTAAAACAAACAAATGGAACAACTACAGAACAAGAGTAAAACTACGGAAATTTTAAAAATACAGATCCAAGAAATTTTTGTTTCTAAACCAGGCCTAATGAGTGACACCAATGATTTATTGACCCAATATCAGACAATACCCTTTAAATGCCCTGATGGACTTTGCAGTCTCTTGGAGACATAAACCTTATCATGTGTTTGAAAGGTTAACATCCAGGGAATTAGCTAAGCAACATTCCAGCTGAGATCAGATCTGAAATTAAAGTCCTTCAAATGCTCAGACTGCCTGCTTTCTCTGCAGGGTTCGCAAAAGTTCTCTACCCCATTGGCCAGTGACTACAAGTCTGCACCTTAACAGCTGCAGCCCAGGTTCAATTCCCAGTCAGGAAACCAGTTTTGTTTGTGAAATTACTTGTGTGACTCTTGACCTTTTGTGGTGTCAGTGGAAAGGAACGAACTCTGTAAAATAATTTAAAGAGGTTTATTCTGAGCCGAATATATGCAGCCATGGCCCAGAGAGCCACACCCAGGAATCCTTGAGCAAGTGGTCTCGCAGTGGCTGGGATACAGTTTGGTTTTATACATTTCAGGGAGACAGGAATTACATGTAAATTCATAAATCAATACATGGAAGACTTGTACATTGGTTTGTCCGAAAAGGCAGGACCTCGTGAAGCAGGGGATTACAGAATTTGTGTGGGTTTAAAGATTCTTTGATTCGTAGTTGGTTAAAGAAATGAAACTTTGTCTAGAGGCTTAGAATGTTTTAAGTTAAGATGAGGAAGTCTGTTAATCAGAGACAAGTCACCAGACATATACTGGACATAGATCAAGACTCAAGTGATCTGTTAAATAAACTGACGACCTGCAGATGTGGTTTAAAGTTTGTCTTACATGCCTTAGAGTTGTTAATAATTTTGCATCTTGGGGGTAGGGAGGGGAAAAAATAGAATAAAAAATGGTTTAGTATCCTGTTGTTACAAAGAGCAACTTCCAAAGGGAGAAGAGATAGGTAGACTTGTGTGACCTCCCTTCTCCTCGTGGCCCACGACCGGGCTTTAAGGTTTGTTTTTTTTTGGTGGGGGGAGGGTCCCTGGGGCCATTACGGGGTCCATTCAGTCGGCTCAGGGGGCTTAAGATTTTATTTTAGTTCACAGGGGTACCCATTTATTATTGACCCATTTCCTGCCACAGACAGCTTTTGGTTTCCTCTTTGTCCATCTGTGGAGCTAAGGGACTTTCGAGCCTTTATGCGGAGGTGGTCGGCTGAGAAGCTGAGATCCGGGGAATGTGGCCAGACGGAAGTGTGGGTCACACTCAGTTTGCAGGGCTTCGCTCTCTTGGGGCTGTCTTTGGGGCTGGTTCTGGGTCTTGTGAGGATGGCATTGAGCATCTTTGCAGGTGCCTAGTTCATTGCCGGTTAAGGCTCATTGGTTTTGGTGAGTCACTTGAAAAGGGACCTTTGGTTTGCAAAGAAAAAGCTGTTTATAAAAGTAAGGCCCTCAGATTAAAATAGGCTTACTTCTTTTTCAGAGCTATCCAAGCTGAGTCCAAACACAGAGAATGTTTTCTTTGTCTCATTCATTGAACCCACCCTAATATCACTAATCTAATCAAGAAACCGCTAAGTGGAAGGGATCACCTACCTAACTAGGTTGGTCTCCAACACACAGCTTGCCGGCATTTAGCTGCTATTTTGAAACTTTTTGTACAATGAATTTACATCTGTAAAGGAAATATCCACTTATAAGGGCATCTCCCTAGCTACACCCAAACCACTAGAAACTTTATGATGGGGCAGACATTGGCTTAAAGTTTACATAACAAAC